CAGGAATTCTGTAAGTTCCTATTCATGGACACAGGAATTGCAACAAAGTCCTGAGAAGGGGTAAAAAGAGGCAGGAAATGCTCAGAAGGAGCCAATTGAGTAACAGTGAAAGTGGGACCTCAGAGGTCTCTGGAACATTTGCCAGGGAGACTTCCACACACAGACCGTGCAGGTGTTGGCCTGAAGAACAGCCTGTATATCTGTCCCCACAGATATACAGCGCATTGTCCTAGTTCAATGACCCCAGGAGTGGCAATGACAAGATGTGTGACATTCAGCAACGTTAATCACTTAGAGCCAGACTCCTTCGCCAAAATTACACATTTATATTGTAGTCACCTTTTCAAGACTAATTTTTTCACAATGCTTTATTCTTTCAACCCAAGATGTCCCAGTGTTAAGCCTCATGTCCAATACCCAGAGACTCTCTTGTGTTTTACCTGCCAGGCTTTTCAACTATAAATGAATGGACTCTGGTTTTCATGTATTTTAGCTCATATTTAGCTGAAAATCATGAAATTGTAAGAGGCTGAGCTTTTGAAAATGTCCAAATACCTTTAGTAGTTTAATTATCACATAATATTATAAATGTTTCTAATGTAAAAACTGTCTTCAAAGCCTGAAATTGAATTGATTTTTTTAACTGAATATTATGCCCCAAATGACAATACTCTGGAAGACTGTCCGCCTGGGCTCTCTGCACGCACTCGGGGTTTAGCAATGCCAAGTCATAGATGCACTTTTTCTGCTCCAGGAAAACAGCACATCTTAGACAATCTTCCCCTTTTCAACTTTTGGCAGAGCTTTTACACCTACAGCTTCAGGCCATCCGCACAGCAGCCCTGCAAGGAGGTCAGGCTGAGCGTTAGACTCTCCATCATAGAGATGATCAGCACTTGAGAAACAGCTTCCTCCGAGCTTGGTCCACAGGCCTGTCACAGCTCCACTCTCCCTGCATGCTCCCCGTGCCTGCCTAGTCCTCTCCCACTTAAGGCTGTGATTGTTTAAAACTCATCATTTGCCACTGACCCACTAACCTGCACACAAGCGTCACAGTGCAGCCGCCGTTACAGCTTCCAACAAGTCATTGCTGTCAACGCTCGGTCTGCCGCCACCCAAACACGGAGGTTTCCTCTTCCAATTAGCTCTCATCGTCTCCAAGACTAAAGGTTTATTGTGTCTGCATCTGTGTGTCAGGGGACGCCCCTCAACTGGGCTGAGAAAGCGGAAGAGGATGCAATCCCCTAGGACGGACCCCCAACCCGTTTTGTGCACTCGGTTTCTGACGGGATGCAACAGCTCTGCTGCAGATGGAGCTCCGAGGAGTGAGCTGTGTGAGAGCACCGACCCTGATGCCCTGACAGGTGTCAGCCCTGCTGGGAAGCACCACGGACATAACTACACACCTATGTGCACTGGCCTAAAGACAGAGAGACAAGACTCGTTGCCATGGCAAACTTGTTCTTCTCTGAGAGCAGATCTAAGATCCTGCAGCCCTCGGTATTATCATTCCTTACCTGGGAGGTGACAGCAATCATCAGGACATACAAGGAGGAGGTGGGAGCACGAACACCACACTCTGAAGGACGTGTGTGTCCACGTGGCTGCTGTCACCACCTGTCCACCCTGCCAGTGGAGAAGTTTGTTTTTTGCCAGTGGAGAAGTTTGTTTTTTGTCAGGAGAAGTTTATTTTTTGCCAGAGGTCTTGTGCACTCACCAGAGAGAGAATGAGAGAGCCCCATAACGGGGCTTAGTTGCTCCACAATCCTCTTCCCTCCTCCCCTGCTCTCGTCAGGATCTTGGGCATGAATGCACTCATGCTTGAGGGGAGGAGCCGCAGTTGGTGTGGATCCGGCCACCGCGCTACGGGCTGGTCCTACAGCAGTTCTGTAAGTTCCCGTTCATGGACACAGGGATTGCAGCAAAGCCCTGAGAAAGGGTAATAAGAGGCAGGAAATGCTCAGAAGGAGCCGATCGAGTGCCAGTGAAAGTGGGGCCTCAGAGGTCTCTGGAACACTCGCCAGGGAGGCTTCCACACACAGACCGTGCAGGTGTTGGCCTGAAGAACAACCCGTACATCTGTCCCCACAGACATACAGCGCATTGCCCAAGTTCAATGACTCAGGGAGTGGCAATGACAAGACGCGGGACATTCAGCAATGTTAATCACTTAGGCCCAGACTCCTTCGCCAAAATCACACATTTATATTGTAGTCACCTTTTCAAGACTAGTTTTTTCACAATGCTTTATTCGTTCAACCCAAGATGTCCCAGTGTTAAGCCTCATGTCCAATACCCAGAGACTCTCTTGTGTTTTACCTGCCAGGCTTTTCAACTATAAATGAATGGACTCTGGTTTTCATGTATTTTAGCTCATATTTAGCTGAAAATCATGAAATTGTAAGAGGCTGAGCTTTTGAAAATGTCCAAATACCTTTAGTAGTTTAATTATCACATAATATTATAAATGTTTCTAATGTAAAAACTGTCTTCAAAGCCTGAAATTGAATTGATTTTTTTAACTGAATATTATGCCCCAAATGACAATACTCTGGAAGACTGTCCGCCTGGGCTCTCTGCACGCACTCGGGGTTTAGCAATGCCAAGTCATAGATGCACTTTTTCTGCTCCAGGAAAACAGCACATCTTAGACAATCTTCCCCTTTTCAACTTTTGGCAGAGCTTTTACACCTACAGCTTCAGGCCATCCGCACAGCAGCCCTGCAAGGAGGTCAGGCTGAGCGTTAGACTCTCCATCATAGAGATGATCAGCACATGAGAAACAGCTTCCTCGGAGCCCGGTCCACAGGCCTGTCACAGCTCCACTCTCCCTGCATGCTCCCCGTGCCTGCCTAGTCCTCTCCCACTTAAGGCTGTGATTGTTTAAAACTCATCATTTGCCACTGACCCACTAACCTGCACACAAGCGTCACAGTGCAGCCGCCGTTACAGCTTCCACAAAGATGTTTGCGGTCATTGCTGTCAACGCTCGGTCTGCCGCCACCCAAACACGGAGGTTTCCTCTTCCAATTAGCTCTCATCGTCTCCAAGACTAAAGGTTTATTGTGTCTGCATCTGTGTGTCAGGGGACGCCCCTCAACTGGGCTGAGAAAGCGGAAGAGGATGCAATCCCCTAGGACGGACCCCCAACCCGTTTTGTGCACTCGGTTTCTGACAGGATGCAACAGCTCTGCTGCAGATGGAGCTCCGAGGAGTGAGCTGTGTGAGAGCACCGACCCTGATGCCCTGACAGGTGTCAGCCCTGCTGGGAAGCACCACGGACATAACTACACACCTATGTGCACTGGCCTAAAGACAGAGAGACAAGACTCGTTGCCATGGCAAACTTGTTCTTCTCTGAGAGCAGATCTAAGATCCTGCAGCCCTCGGTATTATCATTCCAAAGACCAGCAGGATTTTCTTAGGCATAAGGCAGTGGACTCTGGTCCCTTTTCGTTTCTGGATCTTCTGAAAATAATATCAATTGGAAATTCTGACGGAGGGTTGAACACAAAACGGGCTTGCCCCATCGAAGTGTTAATGGCTTTAAGTAGCAGAGCTCTGGGGAAAATGATTAGCTGTGGGCAGAAATGGCCAAAGGTAACATCTTCTCCGAGCTAAGTGGGCAACGTGGCATAGAGCCACTGTTTTTCCAAGACATGACTTATCTCAGAGCCGTGTGTACAGCTAGCCCAGGGTTAAGAGAGAGCAGACTCTCCCTGGGGATGAAGAGGGTGCTTGGTTCTGAGAGAGTTAAGGATGTTGTTTTGTTGGTACGTATGAGCAGACAGGAGCACAGTTTTAACAACCCTCATCTTGGGAATTTGGAATGTTCTGGGGACTGGAGGGAAAACGGTGTAAGTTTGTTTGCAGAGCTCAGACCTCAGAGACTGCTTCCTCTCTAAGGCAGCCCGGAGCTTCCACATACAAAGACTCCAGGGAGTCACATGGTTTTCTCATGAAGAGAGTTCATTTCTGGGTTTATGTAAGAATTGAATTATCTTCATTTGGTCTGGAACTCACAGAACACACCTTCCAAAAATAGGAAGACTGCAGGGTCTCGTTCTTCTGTCCCAGCTGGCAGCAGCACTGGTTCTTGTATCCAGTTGAAACAAGAATCTCTGAGAAGGAGTGGAAATAAAATGATCTAATTCTCTCTGACTCCAGCTGTTCACACATCATTGTTTTTTAAGTGAAATAGTCTCTGAAAGTCAAATACTATATGTTCTCACTCATGAGTGGAAGACAGAAACCCAGACTGAGAGTGAAAGAGGGGGCACCAGCAGCTGGGTGGGGCCAGGTGGTGGAATGGGGAGCTTTGGCAACAGGAACAAGAGCGCTAAACAAGTGGGATGGCTGCAGAGTCAACATTTGCTGACCACTTAATACACATTTCAGAACAACCAGAAGAGCAGAATTCCAAGTATGTACACTATGTAGT